CTAACAAATAAAAATTTTATCATCCTTTCCTCTGTTATCTTGGCTACCAGCTCCACTTCGATCCACTTAGTAAAGTAATCAACCGCCTCTATTAGGAACTTCCCCTGACATGCAACTTGAGGTAGTGGACCCACTATATCAATTCCCCATTGTGCGGAAGGTAGTGACCCACTTAGTAAAGTTATTGAGAATGAATATCTGAGCGAGTAGGTTATGCGAATCATTTAATCGAACAATCACTTGTCCGGTAATTGCATTTTGAACCAAAACGGATATCTCTGACTACCTAGCTTCTTTATCCTTGTTTGACCTTCGTCGTTGCTTGATATTTCAATTTACTTGTTTGAATTTTCTTAGTTGGTAGATCAAAATCAAACCAATATCTGAATTAGAATGGTTATGAATTTTATTTTACTTTTTTGTGTTTGAATAAACGTAATCCAGCTAACCTTCTTCGTGAGATCAACCAGGGAAACGAGTCTTTCAATTTGGTACTCGGTAAAAAGAAAATAATTTGCTACAACAAATGTATATCACATTCACACGTGAATTTGGCCGCCCTATCTCATCTCTCTCTAGATCTCATTCGAGCTTTATCTTCTTCTCGTTGCTCCACCGATACGAGTTGAAGAAGTGTGTAAGTAATACAGTAGAAGATCCCGAAGGTAATCGAGACCTCGTGATAATCTACAAAAGTCGAAGAATCTCAACCCGAAGGCCGAGACCCGTCGACCGAACCCACCTACCGCTGCCGTAAAGCAGCCGGAGGACCACCGCGACCAGCCCGGCAGCCCGCGACACGACCGGCATCATCATCGCCGCGACCTGACCGGCGATCCACATGGACACACGAGCTGACCCCGCCTTCCGTTCGTGTGATACAGCCTCCGTTCGTGTGTTGTTCCCAGTCATCCCGAATCTGACAGATTCATAAAATTTTAAGTCGTAAGTTTTCTATGTGAAACCTTTAGGTCTGTTGCGTATAGGTTTACGTTTGTAATTGAATTCGTAACTAGTACATAACGAGATCCTCATAGATCCCAACAGTCGGGCTGCTGTGCGGAGATCGCCGGGGTCTCACGGTGGTTGGTCAGGTTGCACGGCGATGTCACGGGATCCTACAAGCTACGGCGTAAGGCTCGGCGATGTGGCGGCGGTCGTCCGCTGGACCTGGGCTCGCGGCGGCGGTCGTCTGTTGGCCCTGGGCTCGCGGCGGCAGTCCCGTGCTCACGGTGGTCGACAGTTGGCCGACGATGGATCTTCGGGGTTGATGGATATATTTGATCACATGGTCTCGTATACTACGGGATCTTCTACTGTATTACTCAAACACCTCTTCAACCCGTACCGGTGGAACAATGGGAAGAAGATAAAACTCAACTGGAAATCTAGGGAGAGAGAGAGAGAGAGAGAGAGAGAGAGTCGTGCATGTATAATAGCACGTAGGGTTTTCTGATCTCTTCTGTTGTGTCTTTTCCATGAACTTAATGATGTATATGTAGAGCTACAATAGGGATCCTTATGAGAATAAGATTAGGGCTTCTTAAATATTGGACTAATTGTGGGCTAAGCTCACTCTTCCAATTACTTAAATAATATTACGGTCCACTAACATAATATTATTGCACTCTCTTTTCCTATCCAAAATTACAGTTGGGACTACAATAATAATTACATGAATTACCTTCCCATATTTAAGATATAAGGTCCATTAATTAATTCGATTACTGATATCAAGAATTAATTCATATATTATATTACCAAAGCTGGCGCTCGTTCATTGCATTATTATTATGCATGAACTTAATCCACCTGCATGGTTTAGCTTAACAATCCTTCATGAACTCATTTCGGGGACATCATCAAACTAACGCGCATGGTGACCATAAATATCCTAACAACACATCATACATACAACAATATTACCCAAGACAATAATACTATAGATCCAGCAAACTGAATCTCGCCTAAGTGAATCAAAGTAATAAATACTGCATGTATATGTCTGTTTAATATCTTACGGGTTAAGAGAATGCAGTAATTAACCGAGATTAAGTTTGTTTACAATGATCAGTATAAAACGAACTATTACTCTCTGGGATTCTGTTCAATACATAATTATACTAGTGCAACTAATCAGTCAAGATAAACTGTATCGTTGACACTACAGCAGTTCTGATAGTTTGTTCATTTCCATCTAGGTTGTGAACCAATAGTTCTTATTTCGCAAGTGACTATCAAAATGATATCCTGATGAACCATTTTATCTAAGTGCAAAACAACAGAACATAGAACTTGTTTAATCCAACATGATACTCATTCATCAAGGGCAAAAATGTAATATCATCCAAAGTCAAGCTTTCAGTATATTACACTAACAGACAGCTCCAGGGACCGTCCGAGATGCTAGAATAAAATTAGCCGTGGCCCGCCTCAAAAGCTGGTGTTTGACAAGGAAGACCCACTAGTGCGCATCCGACACGGAGTCTGGACTGAACAAATTCAACGTGTCTTGTATGGGGGCCCGAAGTCTGCCAATATACCAGGACATGAGCTGTTCGATAGTCTCCCTGACATCGACCCTCGTGAGGAGGCGGTAAAATTCCTTGGTGTACTCATTAACCGATCGTTGGCTTTGACACAAATTTCGTAATTGTTGGTAAAAAGTACGAACATAATTGAAAGGCAAGAACTTGCGTTCGAGCTATTTACTAATTTTGGCCCACGGAGTGATTTTTAGCTTGCCCACACAATGTCGCGATCTGTTGAAGTGCTGCCACGAAGCCGCTGCTCGACCCCGCAGGCGCATCGCAACGAGCTAACCCTTCTCTCGTTCGGCAGCTCCTTGAACTCTAAGACCGATTCGACAGATGCCATCCATTCGAGGAACTCAGCCGCGTCGAGCCCTCCCGTGAACTCTGAGATGTCCATGCGGAACGACCCCTCCCAGCGTCGGTCACTGAGAACATCGTCATCATCCTGTGAATTGCCATGCCCAAACGGATTCACCTCATGAAACGTGACGTCTCAATAGTCGTCACCATCGCGTGGTGGCGGCAACCAACGACCTCCAGCCTCACTAAGACTGTGACCCCCGCATCCCCCATGAAACCCTCTACGACCACCGTCCCGAACCCTGAGTGTGTTGCAGGTCGTGTGCTTACCTTGCACAATCGTGTGAAGAGCCAGACGTTTGTCTTCGATCCCCGGAGAAAGGTTCGCATCTCACAACTGATCACTTGGAATTGTTGGTCGAACCTCTCTGCCTGGCAATTCAAAGCCTCGATGGCGGTGTCGCGCCTTTCGTCTGCAGTTTTGTTTTCTTTGCGACAACGTCTTGAATCATCCCAGTCCCTAATAATGAAGACGGGATTCGGCCGAATTTGAAGGCGAATCCTTCTCAACCAGAGGAGGTAGACATGGCCAAAGGGTCGCCCAGCCCTGACCCGGCCCGGATTTCAGAAGGGCCGTGTAAGGGTCATTCGTTTCATGACTCGGCCCGGAGGGTCAGGGCCGGGCCGGGTCGATGACCCTTCTTTTCAATTTTTTTATTATTTTTTTATACTCTTTTTTAAGAAAAGCACGGACCCGGTACGGCCCAGACACGACCCGGCCCGGACACGGACCCGACACGAGTATAGGTCCGTGCCGGTTCAGGGTTAGTGTTTTCGAGCCCGGCGACCCGGCAGGCCACGACCCGACCCGAGTTAAGCAGGACGAGGTACTGAACATACAGCGTTGCGTTCACACTAGGGACGGTACCGTAATTAACCAATTCTAGTGTGAACGCAACGTTGTATGTTCAGTAACGGTACCGTCCACACTTGAATTCAATACACTAGGGACGGTACGCAGGACGAGGTACTGAACATACAGCGTTGCGTTCACACTTGAATTGGTTAATTACGGTACTGTCCCTAGTGTGAACGCAACGCGACCCGACCCGAGTTTTGGCCAGGTCTAAGAGGAGGATGATGAAGACGGAATTAAGGGCGTGATTGTATATAATTTCTACAGTAAATATCTCACTCAAAACTCAAATTTAACTCAACTTTAACTCAACTCTATTATCTCCAATATTATCAATATAATTAAACAATATCAACTAATCATTATTACACATCACATCAACTTTAATTCACTATTCACACACTCACATAATTTTAACTAACCATCACTTTCAATTATTTTCTCTTACTTTTCATCAAATCAACTTTAATTATTTTAATTTAAATATTATTTTAATATATCCACTAACAACTAACCATACTAATTTTTTTAAATTTAACTACAGTTAAAAAAAATTAATTTTTTACTAGTTGAATTCATATCCAATCACCCCCTAAGTAATTAGCATTAATTATATATTTGGTAGGATATATTTGTTGTTCAAAGTCCTTGTCATGTTGGACAAGCAAAGAATATAAGGCTTTGTGGAGTCTTAAAACTCCTCCTATTTTGTTCTAAGTGGTTGACGTTGAAAAAATTTTACATAACCGAGATAAATCTTTCTCTTTGATTTTCAATAGTAGGTTGCGCTACATCACAATATGATATGATCTACTCGGAATGATGTTTCTGCCAATCTACTCACAAAACGACATACATATACATTCTATAAATTTTTTTGCGAATTTCATATGATCTCTTTTGAACACGGCTTAATCATTAAATGACTTTACTAAAAACCACGCATCAATGTCATCCACTTGAAAAGAATAAAATAATATAAATAAAAGGTGCAATAGTATTATTCAACGTATGAATGGATGTTGACATGTTTGTTTTCCCTTATATATATATATATAGACACATAATCTATTGAAAAGAATAAAATAAAATAAATAAAAGGTGCAATAGTACCATTCAACTCATGAAAAGAATAATAAAATAATATAAATAAAAGGTGCAATGGTATTATTAAACTTATGTTTGTTTTCCCTTACATATATATATATATATGCGCATAATCCATTGAAAAGAATAATAAAATAATATAATTAAAAGGTGCAATAGTACCATTTTCTAACTTGTGGATCGATGTTGACATGTTTGTTTTTCGTTCTATATATATATATATATATATTCCTCATTATCATTACCATAAACAAACTAGTCATCTATTGCATTGTCACACTAACAATGGAGGTCACAAAACTATTTTTCATCACCTCGACACTATCTTTCTTGTTCCTCGCTGCTTATTCCGCTCCCACCCCAAGTCGGCTCATCCCTGTCAAATCCACCTACTTCCTTCCGACCGAAAACATGGCCCCGTCTGATATCAACGCCGAGTGCTTCACCCACATCTTCTTCGCCTTCCTCGTCCCCAACAACACCACTTTCACTTTCGACATCACTCCCGACCTCGACCACTCCCTCCAAGACTTCACGTCGACCCTCAAGGCCAAGAATCCCCAGCTGAGGGTTCTCTTCTCCATCGGAGGCGGGGACATCGGGCCATCACTCTTCTCGTACATGGCCTCCAATCCAGACACCCGTTCGGCCTTCATTAAGTCGAGCATAGATGTCGCGCGCAAGTACGGGTTCGACGGGTTCGACCTCGACTACGAGTTCCCGCAGAACGCGTCGGACATGGCGAACCTCGGCCAACTCCTAAAGGAGTGGCGTGCGGCGGTCAAGCACGAGAAGCGTGCGGCGGTCAAGCCCGAGAAGCGTGCGTCCGGCAAAAAAAAGCAAGAGACTCTCCTCATCACCGCCGCCGTGTACTACGCGGCCGACATATCTCTGTCCGGGCCCCCACGGAGCTATCCGGCGGCCCAGATCACCAAGTACCTCGATTGGGTGAACATGATGGACTATGACCTCAAGGGGTCGTGGGACACGAGCGCCACGGGGGAACACGCGCAGCTGTACGACGCGACGGGGGGCAACCTGAGCGTGAGCTACGGGGTCGACTCGTGGATACAGGCCGGGGTGCCGCCCCATATGCTGGTGATGGGGCTCCCGTTGTATGGGAAGACGTGGGAGCTCAAGAGCAACAAAGTGTTCGAGATTGGGGCGCCTGCAGTGGGCGTGGGGCCCGGGGCTGACGGCATCATGACTTACAGCGAGGTGGTGGATTTCATCAAGAAGAAGAAGAAGAAGGTCAAGGTGTACTACGACAACATAACCGTGTCAATGTATGCAGTGGCGAGTAAGGATTGGATCGGGTATGACGATGTCCCATCGGTTACCGCGAAGCTTCAGTACGCCCTGGATAAGAAATTGCGCGGCTACTTCTTTTGGACTATCCCTGACGACGACAAAAACTGGACTATATCCTGCACCGGTAAGTATTATATATGTGAATGTGATCCCTTAATGCATTTTTTTTTTTTTTGTTATTCTAACAGAAAATAAATTAAATGGATTCCTTACTTACAGTGGTCTGGTCTTGTCTAACTAAATACAATGCTATAGGGGGGTTGCATAAAAGTATGGTAATTAATATATTTATTTCTATTTTGCAGCTTCGAATTTATGGACTGGCTAGTTGTATCCTGAGATTGCCAGATTCTTCTGGTTACGTTTCTTCACATCTTCAGTCTACCTTCAGTTGTTCCCAAGCAAGAAATAAATAAATCAATAAAATGTAATAGTTGTGTTTTTCTCCCTTCAGGACCCTCTCTCTATCCCTACGGCTTGTCTCTGTAACCTTAATCTCCGTTCCTAGTACTTTCCTTTCGCTAATGAAGATCCTTGTGCTGTTTCTCTTTCACGTGATTTTCTGAAATAAGGCGTCTTCATATCATTGATGTAGTATCAATTTATCATAGTATTATCCATTAGTGAAAGTACTTTCTTATGAGTAACACACACACACGGGACACAGCTAAAATGACATATTAGTCTTATCCTTTGTTCCACAGAAAATGAAACAACGAAATTGTTACACTCGTCACACAGAAATCCGAAAGAAATTATAGAATCAGATAAAGATACATTCACGCAGAAATCCGAAAGAAATTACAGAATCAGATAAAGATACATTCCTAATACATTAAAACAGTGTGTTGTCACAGATTTGGTTTCCCATGCTGCAAAATATAAAAAGCACTCCATAATTGTAGCTAAAACAACCCAGTAAAACCTCAAATACACATAATAAGCACTTGATCCAAAAATAAAAGTACTTTATATCATGGATTCCAAATATAAACTTGGCCTCCACTAGTTGCACCTGCGAGCATACCTATGTTGCATGGATGTGCATCAAAACGGCATGGAATAGCAGTCATGAGGTCGCTTTTCAAAGTAGCAACTGTTTTCTTATTGGGAATGGAGATGACATCAATTCCTCGTTTCATATTACCAATGAAGATGGATGAATCATCCCAACCCCATATGCCTCTGTTTCCAAAATGAGAATAACAAAGCTATAACTAACTTATTCCCTTAAAAAGGCTTGCAATTAATCATGTCATATGCAGATTCTAAAGGAAGTAATCAGATAGCACTATTAGCTATATTCTCCACATTTTCGTAATATTTATCAGTTACGGTGCATTTGCTGCGACAAGTTCAAGTACTGTAAAAATATTGAGACAAGATTGATCTGTCCTCACCTATTAGAAGAACTAGTTTCAAAAACCAAACAAGAACAAGGTTGTTTAAAGCCTGTACTTGGGCCAGTTTTTAAAGCCATGGAATTCGAATGTAGACCAAAGTATTGGACTTTCATGAAATAAGGAAAAGTTGACAATTCGGAAAATGAAATAGGAATAGATAGGAAACTTAAACAATTGTTAGCTGCACATTCATGCAAACATTTCTTGAGCAAGAGAAATTCCATACCTGAATGTGGAAATCCATCTGCCTGTCTGATTGAAATGATTTACCATGTATGTATTCTCATAATTAGCTCCAGCTGACAAGCCAACATTGTCATCAAGACTGCAGGAAGAGTTAAAGCCACTATCAAAATCCTATTTCTTAATACCTAAAAGTTTAAGGATTTAACTACATGCACATGTTTTACTGTACATGAGGTGTGTACATATATACTCACATGAAGAGGTACCCATTTTATAAACTATTTCGATGGACCCACTTCATGTGACTGCAAGAACACATCTTTATGTACACTAAATTATGTACAGGTACCATATTCAAAATTTAATAACACATTTTACTACTGCAATGCAATAACATATAGGCCAAAATCAGAATAAACTAAGTTAAAATCTCTGTGTGCAGGCATGGATGAAGAAGTTTTTCCAGATTAGAAACTAGCTTTTCCGAACTCGTAAGTTAAGATCACTGGATACAAAAATATAGTGAAATAAAAGACCCTGAAAGATTTCCAACAAGAAAAACTACATGGGAACTTGTTGACTTTGATATACCAAAAGCAATAAAGCATAACCACTATCACAAACTAAACAGCAGACTGATTTTGTTATGTGATTGAACCCAAACAGACCTTGTTGTTGCCAGGAACTTCCCAGTGGGTGAAAAGAACGCAGAATGCACAGCTCTCCTATGATTAACAGTCTTCAATGGCGTTGGCTTATTGGCATTTATGGATCTTAGATCCCAAACACAAGCAGTGGAATCTGTAGAACTTGTAGCCATAACATTCTCATTTTCCGAGCTAAAGTCTATGGTGTTGACTCTATCTACATGCAAATCACATGATAACAAACATTTTCCTGCTCGTACATCCAACATACGGACTGTTCCACCCTCACTAAAATACAAGGATTTTACATCATGTGGACTCAGGCATGTGGAGAATATAGAGGACTCACTGAAATGAATCAAGTCAAATACCTCCTTTTCCACATCCATCATTCGGATAAACCCATCATAGCACGAACTATACATCTGCACAAGCAACAATACAATGTTCACTCCATAACATGTGGATATAACGTAACACAAAATTGATATACAGGCAACAACCTCACAAGTGAGAATTTGGGATGAAGAGGTCGAGTCGTCGAGATGAAATCATATTCGAACCATGGTTTTATATAGACCATAAATATGCTCATCCTGTATATTATTGTGCTTCATTTAAACACAAACTCTAAGACATGGATAGTAATAAATATTTTGACAGTTTACATGAACTCCCAATCTTTATTAAAAATTGTATCAAGTAGCCGATTTTGTCATTCTATATCCAGTTAATGGAATGAACCAAACAGCCCAGCCATTGAACAATTGATACCATAATCACGCAATAAGCACAACCTTTTCTCATTTTTATATAATTCAGCAAAGGATTGACCATTAACTAAAGCTAAATAAAGAGCACAATGATTAATCAGTGACTCCAACTCCCAATATAAGCAAAATAAAAACAAAAACATAGTCCTACTTTATCTTATAATATCCAGAAACAGGCATCAATACCTTTGAAATCGAAAAGGGGTCTATCGTGATACCAGAAACAGGCCCTGAGTGGGGGTGGAACAAATAAATCCCATCATCACCAGTCCTCTCCCCATTAACATTCCAAAATCCAATATCTCCAAACTTGTTGCCAACGACAACCATTTGCATATCCAGCGTAGGAAAAAATCTCACACTCATAATCCTACCTGGCACCAATCGCGCTACATTCTGAGGCCTCAACTCCAATGCTGCCACATCAACTGCACCCCGCATTTTTTTGCTCACATTCAATTTCTCAACATCTTTAGAATCACAAGGAACCCCATCACCCTCACCCTGTAGAGACTTCCAAGAGAAGGAGAAAGTTTCCCTCAGTCTACATTCCAACCCGTCATCACCACTGTATGCATCAGTCAATGGAAGGGGTCCCTTCTCTTGAGGGGATTTCTTGTTGGAATTCAAGTGGGAGATATCCTTAATCTTCTTCTCATCAACAAGATAATCATCAAGGCCGGTGGCAGTGGCAGAATCAGGCGGCACCCCACGAGTTCTCATCGAACGGCGGAGAACCACCGGAGTTTCGGGTTTAGGCTTCTTTAGTGGACTCCGTTTGTAAGATTTACTCTCAGCCCTAACAAAAATATTACATTTTCTCGGTCAACCTATGCATCAAATTAATTCGGCACAACAAAAGCACCCCGCAAAGAAGGAATTCTATTTGCTCATAGACAACAAAAAATTCTCCTGGCCAATTCTCGAATGACTAATATATCACCCCGCTAATCAGGGGACAGATCCAATAAGTAGCCATTATTTTGACAATATAGGAAAGAAACACACAGGCGCGCGCGCAGAGTGAGAGAGAGAGAGAGAGAGAGAGAGAGAGAGAGAGAGAGAGAAACCTCTGGCGCTTGTGGGCGGCGGAGAGGTCGTTGAGAGTGGAGCGGATTTTGAGCGCCGCCAGCATTTCACCGTTCCGCTTGATGTTTTCCAGCCTCCGGCGCTCGTACTCTGTCATTCTCTCATCTTTCCCCATTTCGCTTCACCTCCGACCGATGCCTCTCTGTATCTTTCACAGTTTCACTTATCCGGCGGCTGGTGATAAAAGGCGGGAATCTATGAAATAGCGGGAAACTGCAATACTGACGGCGTGGCATCCAATTATAACGGCCATAAGTTCATTTTTTTGGAATTCGTTGGGCCGGCCCAGCTTTTGCATTGTATCTCTGAGGTGACTAGGGTCTGTTTGATGCCTAATCAGAAATGGATTAACCTACTTTTAGACATTAATTAAGGATGACAAAAGGAAAAAAAAAAATGATATGTAAGTTCCAACAGTTTTTATTTTAAAAATGATGTAACATGTAAAGTAGCAAAATCCCCACACCTATTATTATATCAAAATTTATGTCATTCCTTATGTTATTGTAGGTTGTAGTTGATTTGACTGAAATATCGGTCTTGATGTGTCCGAGATATCGGTCCACAAAGATTATTAGTTGAATCATCTTATCTCGATTGTATCGTACTATGAATTGGATCAACCTGCAACATAGCTGGGGGAAGGGCCTTGGCGTAGACATTTTGACGCTCAATCACTGTGTAAATACACACAGACTTGTTTGGGTATCTATTAGAAATCTTTCTTAAATTTTTATAGGTATTTGACTAATACCATATATCTTTAAATTGTAATAATCGAGCTAAAGCTCGCTTGAATCGGCCGTACCGTAACTAAATGCCCAGGCTGGTCCACCGAGCTATTATGAGTGTTACATCATTTAGTTCTCCCCCCTCTAGACGAGCTTGTTAGGGTGAGACTTGTCTAAGAGTATAACAATTATACCTTAACCAAGTCTATAGCGTCAATTTCCTAGGATCGTCTAGGCCCCACGGTCTACTACGTCGGAGTTCTGCTACCTCTTGCGTGCAACTATGGCTCCCGGCCAACTGTGGCCTCCGAGCTACCTGCTCGGAGTTCTGTCACCTTAAAATGTTTGGCACCCGAGCTACCGGCACGAGGTATAACCAGGTACTAGACCCTCATGAATCTTGAAGGCCGTCTTCCACTCATCATCTGGCCTAATACAAATTTGATGATAGCCGCTGCAAAGATTCAACTTTGTGAAGACGGTTGCGCCATGTAGTTGATCTAACAAGTCGCCCAAGCAAGGAATAGGAAACTGATACCAGACCGTGATCTAGTTGAAAGTCCGACTATCCACACACATGCGCCAAGAACTATCCTTCTTTGAGATAAGTAAAGCAGGAACTGCGCACGGGCTCAAGCTACGACGCACCACGTCGTGTTATAAAAGTTTCTCCACTTGCCGGCGTAACTCCTCATGCTCCGCCGGGCTCAACCGATAATGGGGCCTGTTCAGATGAGAGGCGTCTGGCACCAAGTCAATCTGGTGTTGTATATCGCAGAGAGGAGGCAAACCCGACGAAAGATTCGCCGGAAAAAACATCCATACAATCTCCTCAAGCAATGACCAAATAAATTGTTGGGGGCGAGCGCTCAACCACCGAGTCGAAGCCTAAAACTAAAAGAACAAAAAGAGCCTCGGGCATCTCGTCAACAAATGCTGCTAGTGATACCCAATTTGGCTACGATTAATAAAAATACAATACATTAAAATATCATTTCGATTATTTTATTCCTCATTATTTCTTGTCCACATGTGAGGCTATATATTTTTGGCTACCATTATTGTAGAAAGGATCTCATCTTATCCATTGGAAATCTCGGAAGAGAGAGAAAGGGACATTTTTCCAAACATCATCTTCCTTGTTCGTCTTTTCTTGATTTTGTATAACAAATATCATATGTTTATTTTTGTGAAGAAAGTATCCTGAGTAGTGTATGGTTCACCCCTATTGCTGACATTTTTGAGTATCGGCGCTAGAGACAGGGTACCATCATTTGTTTGGTGTAACTCGCCGGAAAACGACCACATCTCTACCGGAAAGAAGTCTCTCCAAAGCTGGTGGGATTATTCTTACTCTCAGTCTAATTTTTTCCCACATTTGTTATCCTGTTTTTCATGAGTATTCTTGTGAAATATATAGATATATATTATAGATTGTTGNTGTAAATGGTCTGCAAGTTTATGTGCTACTGGGCACCACAAACAGCATACACGCATAAGAAAATAAAAAATAAAAAAAATAAAAAGATAAGACCAGCAAAATTCGTCTTGTGCAAGCAAATTAACAAGATTATCCTTAACCCACTCCTAATTTGCGATTTTGCTCCCAATTTTGTGAACGCTGGAGCAAACAAACGTCAAATTGAAAAATGAGGAATTCTATGTTCTCGGAGATGAAATCCGATCTCGCCCAGCGCACACGACGACAGGATGCCCGCGCGTCGCGACGCGGCAAATTTAAATTTATAAAGTTTCCTCGACTAACCTCTACTAACTAGTAGTAGTGGCGAGTAAGGGTCGATCCCACGAGGAGCAGGAATTAAATTGTGACAATCTCGTATTAATTGAACTAAACTAAGAAAGCAAATAAATATGGGGGGATTGATTTTATAAAAATAAAAATAAAAATAATAAAATAAAATAAAAATCTAATAAAATAAGAGAAGTCCAGTTTTCAGTTCAGTTATCACCCAATCTAAATCTACCGTTAATTAATTTCGACGCCTTCTTTAAATCGCTAATGAATTACCGACCCTAGCTAACAACAAGCTCTGCTAACCGAATTTTCCCTTACAGAATATTTAACCAAAATAAGCTCTTCGACTAAACCTAACTTATGAACAACCTAGAATAAGCTCTCTAGATTTAGTTCACTAGCAGCATTAATTTCTAAGAAAATAGATCAGTCTAAGCAATGGACGCAAAAGCTCGGACCATTTAACTTATGTTCATGCTACCCTAGAGATGCACGACCCCTAGTTTACTACTAACGAAACAAGACAATAACAATTACGGATTAAAGTCTCGAATCTAGCAATTAAACTATGAATATTTAACGTAGTTGGCCAGACTAAATCAAACACCATAATTTATAAACATTAAATATAGATAACATGAATCAACTCATCAACAAAAATAAATACGGCGTCTAGATTAATCAACGGTAAAAATAAATCCTTCAATCCATAGACAAATCAAAGTTAGGGTTCAAACATCCCTCAAACTGGATAAAATAACTAGCCTAACATACTAATAAAATATAAATAATAGAATAAAAGAGAAAGAATAAATCTCCCTCTTATATGCGAGTGCGGCTTCCCTCCGCGTGAAATTGTTCTCTATCCGTGCGTGAGTTCCGTTCTCTTTGTGTTGCTGCGTTTCTGTTCTCTGTCGCGTAAAAAAAAAGAATAAGTCCCTCCGCTGCGTGTATATTGGCCGCCAAATAAATCCAAGTGTCCTACTCCTTCAACTAATTCGTGAGACCCCAGCAGATTCTCAACGCTCCAAAATCTATTTTGTCCATAAAAAATCATTTTTATTTTCCTTTAGCCAAACACGTGATCAGCTCCAAATTGCTCCAAGTCCACTTTTGTCTACCAAGCCCAATCACATTAATAATATCCCCACTTTTGTCTACACTGTAATTGGAAAGGATTGGGCTTTTCTTAATTAAATATTGCTTCGGGCTTAATTGACCTGGTACGGGGCCCAATAATGACTCGCGTGAACTCTCGTTTAATGCTTCGGATCCACAAAATACTCCAATGCACTAAAAATAAATATAAAAATATCAATGTATATGAATCCATCCAAATAATAAATAAGTCGAAAAATATAAACGTGCAAATAAATTAAGTGTATAAAAATACACTATTAAACATATAAAGCATGCACATTTTTCTTCCTATCAAATCTCCCCAAACTTAAACCGTTGTTTGTCCCCAAGCAACTTAGAACTAAAGCACATAGATGGATATATACAAGTACGTGGAATTTTTGCTCAGGTCCTCACACATCTCACATAATGCATAGCTACAACTTCCCAAATTAATAACCCCGGACTCGAAATGAAATCATCTTTAGAACGCCAACAATCAAATATCAATTCTGTGAATTATCGCAGCTCATCAATCTTTTCACCGAGTATACCAATCATGCAACTAACGACATCCCTTTCTTTGTCAACCGGTTTAGTTCCTCTTTGCTTCTAGCCAGAAATCAAAAGTCTCTATTTTTTTTTTTTTTTTTTTTTTTGGGAACGGCAGCTCCGTCACAGTCCATGGTATTTAGCTATTCGTGCGAGAGTTATGCACTAAAGCTTCATAGACTGGCAGCTGTTGCAGCCCACGACTATTTTTCTCTTTTTTTTTCGTTTTTTTTTTCAACACATATTATTCTTTTCCTCCACATTCATTATTTACACCACGATTCTTTTTTTTTTTTTTTTTTTCTTTCTTTTTCTTTTTTTTTCGAGACAATCAACTCCCAACTTTCCACGTCAAGTTACCTCACACAATCGACATAAAGCAGAATAGTCACCAGCACATTTCAAAAATATAAACAGTTCGAGACCAACTCACCACAAATAAAACACATAAATATCAATCGTCATGTCTTTGTCCCTTAAATGACAACACTTCAAGAATTTAACCAGAAACCATTAACCCGAGTCATCATAACTAGCATATTATTCCAACAGACACTCAATTCATCATCGCAAAATTCCACATACAAGTAACATATACTCCAGCAAATCAAGATAATATATAAAATAGAGCACAACTCAACAACTCACACAAACATATCTCACTCTAATGAATCTCCCCAAACTTAGAGTTTGCACATAATAGAACAAAATACAAAGTAAAAGGAAAGAGTTCACCTTATCAAGAGAAGAAGTCATGTCGCACACCATTGGGTTGCCTCCCAACAAGCGCTATTTTTTATTGTCGTTGGCTCGACTTATTGCTCCGCTTTCTTCAAGCGGTCCATGGCGGCTTCATAGGTGGCCTCAAAGGAGGCATGAACCTTGCAGCTCCATGCTTATGAAAGATCCCCTCGTTTGGTGTCGGGTGCTTTACCGGATCTTTTCGTCTAGGTGGCAAATGATCATGGTAAAAGATTAGCCCGGGATCATGGATAAGAGGAAAAATCTCAGGCACTTCAAGGATGTAAGGCTCTTGATTTTCAACATGCTCGGCTGCTGGTTGTTTGATCTCGACTAGAAAAGAAGAAATTTCAATCATGCTCGGGGCAATTGTCGGAGCTTTTACGTCATTTTCACCTTCGAGTAAGCTGTTATCG